CTGGTCATTGTCCAGGAACGTTGGTGGCCCTTTAGCTGATTAGCATGCTTTGATTCCTTAGGGTCAGTCAGGACACTGGATTTTCTAGTTCTGCTTTATTTCATTCGAAGGATCTCGTTGCACGAGTGAACCCTGTGGTTGGATTTATCAGTATGTTCTGGAACATGCTTCATACATGTCAGTGAATCCCTTTTCCCAGTCACCAGGGTCCGTTTTATATCATGAAAGTGTTTAGTTTTGTATATAAACCTCAGGCCTATGAAGGGGCCCCCTTTTCTAATGCTCTAACCAGGGGAAGTTGGTATTTTGTATGAGATATCATACAGAGAGCTCAGGAGGGGGGTTTCTGACCATGTGTTTCTCATCTAACCTCCCTGAACACTCGCAGTCATTTCCTCCGGCTCTCTCCTTTATGATGAAATCATTCCGAGAAGCTTGGTAACATTTCAGGAAGGCTCGTCTGCATCAGCCAATAGGGAACCTGCTCGGTAGACACACCTTACGTATACGATTCACCTTTCCCCTACAAAGTTGCCTTTGCGTCACATTCTGTCTCCTCCTTTTAGGGCCTCTGATGGCAGAGGAAGTCTACAGTCTCGGTTCCAGAGAAGCGCATTTACCTCCATCACTGTACGTGCTGCGCTGACATGACGCCGGGCGCATGGGCACGTGGTGTCATCAGCCCCACGAGGATTTCATCATGCCCCAATGTGGCCACCATCATACAGCCCACTGACACTTCCTGATTCTTGCAGTCGCCTTATACCGTCTATTGGCTCAATAGACGGTTTACTTAAAGGGCAATACGGCATTACCCGCGTGTTCTAGCAATCTGCCTCCATCCTGCATTGGTTCACTTCTCCAGACATCTCTTTCTACCCAAACAACAAATATCAAACATTTCATGATTAGTGCCGGGTTCCAGACAGTGTCTCATATCAGCCTGTGTGATAACGTCCTGTGCTGTCCGGTGTCTGATCGTTGGCTGCTGGGGTCACAAAGTGATGTGAATACAGAGTTCTGCCCAATCGGGACTGACCACCACACCGGCCCCTGCACCACGGGAGAGCCCCCGCCATTCTCTATTGCCGTGTAACTCCACATTAGGCCAGACCAGTATGGCACAGCCGAGAGTTCTGGAGAACCTTTATATAGGTAGGCAGACTAGGAGGTCTGATTATATATTATGCCGGGTCTGCATCCAGCAAAGTGTCCCTCTGACCTCCATCCTTGTGTCCCTCTGACCTCCATCCTTGTGTCCCTCTGACCTCCATCCTTGTGTCCCTCTGACCTCCATCCTTGTGTCCCTCTGACCTCCATCCTTGTGTCCCTCTGACCTCCATCCTTGTGTCCCTCTGACCTCCATCCTTGTGTCCCTCTGACCTCCATCCTTGTGTCCC